GGGATTTACTATTTATGTCATTTCTATTCAAAATCAGTCAAGAAATATATATAAATCCTTGTATCATTTTTTTTTTTGTGTTATATATCCTTGATAGTGTAAGAAAGAATTGCACAGTGTCATAAAGTATTTATTTAACAATTTCAGTAAGTATTTAACACTGTATTTAGAGTAGTGTCAGTTCATCTATTAACATTGCCTGTATGTATTCAACACTGTTAGTAAAAACAATGTGATGCTGTCAGTAAGAATTTACAGTGTCAGCAAGTAATTAATAGTGTTAGTTTATAACCGTGTCAGTATTTTACTGTGTGAGTTAGCATTGTATAATATCAGTTAGAATTTCACTGTGTCATTTAGAATTAAATCGTGTCACTTAGTATTGAACAGTATTATTAAGTGTAAAATCGTGTCAGTAATTAAAAACAGTGTCAGTGTTTAACAATGCCAGCAAGTATTTAAGAGTGTCAGTAAATATTGACAGTTTTATTTAGTAAATAGCAGTGTTATTTAATATTTGACAGTTACAGTGAGTATTTACAGTGTCAGTTAGTATTTTACAGCGTCAGAAGTGTTTGACAGTGTCAGTAACTATTTAACAGAGTCAGTAAATATTTAACCACATCAGTAAGTATGGAATAGTGAAATTAAGTATAAACAGTTTTAGTATGTATTTAACAGAGTTAGTATCTATTTTCCATTGCCATTTAGTATTTTACAATCTATGTAAGTATTTTTTGCTCTCGGTAAGTATATATTTATATTAGCTGTCAATTTTTAAAAATGTGTGAGTAAGCATTTTCAAAGTATTTTACAAGTAACAGTGTTAGTCATGATAAGGCGACCAATACGATATTTATTTTAAGGTTGTTCTTACTGGTGCATCCTGAGAACATTTTACTATAAGGAGACCAATGCAGTGTATATTTGTAGCTTTCTCTAACATTTATGTCTGTACAACTAGAATGTAACGATTAAGAGACAAAAATGTATATTTGAAAGTTACTCATACATTTATTGTTGTATCACGTTTAGAGTTAAAGGTTATAGCGATTAATACTGTTCTTATTTAAGGTTGTTCTAACATATATGACTGCACAACGTGGATTGGAGGTAACGACAAGGCGACTAATACCGTGTACATATGGGAAACCTCCGGACTGCCCGTTATCTACGCAAACTGGATCCCGGGAAACCCAAATAACGTGGTTATCAAGGACTGTATGGATATCTTCTACACGGGTTTTTGGAATGACCGGCCATGTACGAGACAGGAGGGATACATATGTGAAAAAAATCTGTAAAATTATTTTTGTCAATAAAATTATCTGATAAGGATAAAATATGTGATAATTCCTCTGAATTACATTTGTTTATTATTTAATTACAGGGGTAAAGACAGAGTATTTTTTTTTAATATTCATGCAATAAAATATACCAATTATTTTCTAATGGTTAAACATGTTGAAGTGACTCAAGGCAAGTTCTCCGGTAAAACCGCTTCAAGGACCAGTCAATAGAATTTACGATAAAACATTTGCAGGCTTTTTTTTTTTTTTTTTTTTTTTACAAAACTTCTCTAAGAATTTTCTTAAGAAAATTCCTAAGAATAATCTTAGAAATATTGTAGGATGATCCTAAGTCAAATTTAGGCATATAAATCAAAGCTGTCTTAGTGTCGTCTTTAGCTAAGACGTCTTAAGTTCAATTTTCTTTAAACCCTGGAAAGTAACACATAAATCTTAAAACATCCCCTCTTCCGACCATTCAATTAGAGCGTGCTAGTCCGCCATGTACAACAATTTCAGCTCGATTAGGTTTGTCAATCTCTTGATCTGAGCGAAATATTCTTAGGTATTTGTAAGTGCCTGTTTTTCACATACTGAGGTCGAATTTTCTCTAACCTGACATACAGTACCGACCAGACACAACCTAACACCAGCACCCCGGGTTCGCTTTCTGGGTTCGCTCGGGGACCGCTACGGGTCCGCTTTCAGAAATTTTGGATACGCCTTGGTTGCGCTCCGGGTTCGCTCTGCGTTCGCTCGGGGTCAGCTCTGGGTCCGCTAGAGCGAACCCGGCGTTCGCTTTCTGGGTTCGCTTTACGCACTCAAGCGTGAAGCGGACCCCCCTTTAATCTTGCCGCGAGTAAGCCCCGCCCCTTGTATATCCCAAATACTGTAGTGAAATCGATCATTGTTGTTTTGGTGGCGATCGATACATGATCATATACAGTGGCTGCAACGTTATTGTTGACAACATATACACGAACGATTCCGCACGATTAAACCTGTTACGCGAACGATCCTTCACGTTCACGATTCTTTATGTTACACGATCATTCACGATTGTTAACGCAAACGCACGATTTTTTACGCAAAATAGTTAAAAATATATAGGAGTGGATATTTTTAAAACGAAATAAAGCTTAATTAATTGATATTTTAGATTAAAAATAATTATGGTGAAATTCATCGACTTTGGAAAACTGAAAAAATATTTAGAAATGGATATTTTTGAAACCACATGTACATATATAAGACTTAATACATGTAGTTATTTTAGATTACAAATAATTATCTATGTAATTCTCCGACTTTGGAAAATTGTTTTTTTATTTCAAATCTTTTTGATACGTAAAGATGTAATTTATGATTGAATGCTGCTTGTTCTATCATATGATATAGGTGGGCCGTGAGTTTTGATTCAATTGAATATTATTATATGCTGTAAGGGGGTATAAGATTTTTAAAAAATGGCCTAAAAATGATTTTAAAATATACCCATCTTTCCATTGATGAATTTCAAAAATCAGCAATTTTTTTTATTCATTCATTGCCGAAATTATTAAAAAAAATAATAATAATAATGAGCATCAGGGATTAAAAGTAACCCCGACATCAGCTCAGTACATTTGCCGACTAAATATTTATGTAAGTATTGGGATTTTTTTTAATGTACATTTTTGATGTATTGATATAAAACAATCAAGACCACATTTAGCAGTTAATATAATAAACATCAGAGAAAAAATCGTTAAATATCTTAAATACGCTTTATCATAAAAAGTTACGCTAATTTAAGAGAATATAATACTGTACGACTTATTACATGTATATTGCTTATTTACTACCGATAATTAGTTCGTTCAATAATGTAAATCGCGCTTCATTCTTCTTCCCCTTTTATTTCAGTTAAAAAACAACAAAGAAGCTAATTAAAGCTTTACATTATTTTTCTTGTAAAAGATAAATCAAGATAATACTACAGTTGTTTACGATAGGACATTTATTTATTTATTTATTTATTTATTTATTTATTTATTTATTTATTTATTTATTTATTTCATTTTCAATGAAGAAGATCAATAATTTTAATGTTGATCTGGATTTAAACAAAATGTAAATTAGAATTATCAGAATAAATAATTGAATGAAAGCACATACATGTACATATACATAATCTTGTACAGTAACTTGACATGATGAAATGCAATGATTTGTCAAAAACATTCTTTCTTTCTTTCTTTTTTAAATATTTTTTTTAGTAACAATTGCAATAACTATTATTTTCTTTTTTTTTTTTTCTTTTATACATGAAAGTACCTTTTGTCTGGTAAATTTACGAAATGTTAATGGATTTTAAAAATAAAAAAGAAAGAAAATAAATATGTAAAAATAACATGCTACCTGGATAATTAAAATATAAATATATATTTTTTATAATCATGTTATTAATAGTTACACACTTTACATTAACACGCTTTGCTTGTACAATATTTTATTTACATCGAATAACAAACTGGCACGCTGATTGGTCGACGTGCTGATTGGTTTCTTATCGCTAATCCTGATTGACAGCTCTATTACGATACACCGAACGCGCGTTCGCTCTCTGGGTTCGCTACTGAATTTGGGGTTCGCTTTCGGCGTTCGCTCTGGGTCCGCTGTGGGTTCGCTCGGGGTGCGCTCCAGGTTCGCTCGGGGTCAGCTATAGCGAACCCCGAGCGATCTCGAAGCGAACCCAGAAAGCGAACCCGGGGTACGCTCTGGGTTCGCTTTCTGTTAGGTTGTGTCTGGTCGGTATTGTAGCGAAGTAACCCATGGACTTCCGATCAATGAACTGTCATTCATGCTTTTGAAATGCATGGGTTAATGAGTCGTTATGTAGTGTATATTTGTATCTGCAACTCTATTTTTTTGAGAATTTCCAGCAAGAGCAATGAAAATGCGTGATGTTTTTTTTTTTTTTTTTTTTTTTTTTTTTTTTTTTTTTTTTTAGGAAATATTGGCATTATATCGGGAAAAAAAAATGATTTTTTTCCCGGAATATTAGTGCAATACTTCCGATTAACAGCTACAAACCCTTGAAAATCCAATTTATTGTCAAATGTTTTGTTAAACATGCAATTTTTAATTTCTGTTAAGAGGGCTCAAAATCAACTTCCGTTAATGGAATGAAAAGCATCAAACCGTTAAATTACTGATTTGGCAAAGTTGAAGATGTCCCAATTTTTTAAGTACAAAGTTATAATCTGTATATACATGTAATTTCCCTCTAAAATTAGGATGTTGCATTTCTTTTGCGTTTCAGTAAATATATATATATATATATATATATATATATATATATATATATATATATATATATATATATATATATATATATATATATATATATATATAGCTTGTTAAATTAGATGCTTTTTAATTATACTGACTCTTCTCAGATTGCTATGGCACCCCCAACTACAATTTGAAAATAAAAAAGGACATTACATACAAGAACAATTTTTTTAGCGTAATAGAAACATTTTTATTTTAGGGTTTTCTGGATGCTTAAATCACATGACTGCACGTTTCATTAATTGACCTCTTGCACTTGTAACAGCACTTATCTGTTTATAACAATCCACAAGGCAGTTAGTGTGACCCAGATTTCATTGAAGTTTTGTTTTTTTTATCCCGGCTTCATAAAAACACAGAAAAAATCAGTTCAGGATGTTTATTGATGTGTACATGAACTTGATTGTTTTCTGCATTTTAAAGAATTCTAAAGGATTGGGTAAGTTTAGTATGTAAAAAGGAGTTTATATTCGTTTCTAAAAATGTAAATGTTAAGAATAAATCCTTAATTTTTCTTTTTTGTTCAATTAAATTGGCGCCTACAGTTCCCACGTATTTTTTTTTACTCTCATAACAACCTCATTTTGTGATCCGGGAAGAAATTTGATAAAACTATTGAAATAATTAAACTTATTGTTTAATGTAAAATTCCCGCTATTTAAAATGTCATTTCTTTATACATTGCGTTTCACATATCGGAAGACGAGGTAGGGCAGGGCCACAACAGGGAGTCATAGTTTACCATAAGGATTAGATAGATATCTAGATAGATAGATATTTTTGAAATCTTCTTTTCTATAACAGCTATGCCATTATTAGTCATATTAATATAGATGTATTCCCAAGTAGTGTAAATTCAAGTTTGTTCAAATCATGACACCCGGGAATAGGGCGGGGCCACAGTAGGGGTTCAGAGTTTAACACATAACATTAGATTAAATGGTAAAGGAGTATTTGAGTAAAAGACTTAAAAGACTTCAAACAGTGGAATGACATGACAAGCCAAAGGGTAAATAAGACAAAGCTTTAGGAAAGTCTGGCATTCAAGAGCTAGATGAAGAAGTTGAATAAGCAATAAAGAAGTTAAAGGAAAGAGCAAAATAAAAAAAACGGACAAGTATCCTAGGGAATTAATGTTAAGTTTATGGTGTAGTAAATCTGAAGATGATTGAGACACCCGGTTTTTATCTATCAATATTAACCTAGGGGAGAAACACGGTGCAAGTAGTACCCAGTCCCCGTCTCTAAATAAGAGAAAAAATTTCGTACGGTATGATTTACTCTCAGACAGAGCCAGTATAGACATAGACAAAGGAAAACCTATATATCCCTTGTTAAAACCTGATCAAACACGTTTCATAGGAAATATCTCAAGAACAACTGAGCCATTATTAGTCATATTAATGCAGAAACAACCTTAGGTATTGTAGAATAAAGTTTGTTCAAATTATGATGCCCCTTGGAATTGGAGTTTGGGCAAAATAGAGGGTCAAAATTTTGATTGAAAATAAAAAAATCTTCTGCTCAAGAACAGCAAAGCCACGTTTAGTCATATAATGATCGAAGCATCCTGAGATAGTGTAGTGTCAAATTTAGGGTGGGTAGGGTGAGGCCTCAGTGCGCGATCAGAGTTTTACAAATTTACAAATCTTTAGAATTATTCTGCTAAGGAATAGTTAAGTCATGATTAGTAATATTGATATGGAAGTATCCTGAGGTAGTGTAAATTTACGCTTAACAACCCCCCTTTAAACTTATCAATACTGAACTGATTTTTGCTTTGTCCCACCCGATGTGCTCAGATGAGCGACGTCGCCCATGGGCCTGTTGATTTTTTTCTTAGGCTGAATTGCGGCCAACACATGAGCTGTTGGTTTATTTATTTGCTCTCTACAAACTGATTCCTTCGAACATAGTAACTGATCTTTCCCCCTCCCCTTCTTTCCATTTTAACAAGAGAATCTAGCTCTGCGGAAACATGCCGTCCAGTCCTCAAATCATCGAATAGCATGGGAAGCCAATAAGGCCGTGGACGGGGACAAGAGTACCTCCGTGTATCATAATTCATGTGCAGTGACTCAGACCCGTCAGTCTAATGCTTCCTGGTATGTAGACCTGGAGAAGGTAGTGGGAATCCATCATGTCACGATTTACTACAGAAAGGAACAAGACTGGGGTAAGAGTTGGAACATTACAAGCATCTCAAAATCTACACAAAAACAAAGGGGTCATTTTCTTTCTCCTGGAAAGGGAATCTGATGCTATTCAACAATAAGCGATAAAAATAAAATTATTAAAACATTATGAATTGAATGAATAGGAATAAAAAATATAGTCTCATAACTTTTTTATTTTTTTTTTAAGTTTAATGTATATAACAACTGATAGTTAAGTGCATGAGAAAACCAAAAACGTACCTTTTTAGGTGAAATATGATAAAAGTGAAATATCGTTTATTTAAAAAAGAACTTTGCAGAAATAAAATGAAAGAAACAGAATGTCTGTGAGGCAAGGCTCACTAGTGACACAATCGCTCTGATGTGAATATACACTTCCATGTGAATATACACAAGTTCAGTTAAAGAAATAGAGGAAGTAGACATGGGATTCGTACAAAAATGAATGCCACGATATGACATACATGTACAAAAACAAAGGGTGTGCTTAAATTTCAAGCATCTGCCATGTGTAGTTGCTGAGAAAACTGTGACGAAAAATTGTTTCTGAAATTTTGTACGGACAGACGTGATAAACGTGATAAACGTGAAGTTGACATCGGATTCGTACAAAAATGAATCCCACCATATGACATGCCCAAACACAGTTTCTGCCAAAATCTCAAGCATGTGCCTGCATAATGCCATGAATAGTTGCTGAGATAAAAGAGAGACACACACACACACAGACACACAAGGGTAAAACAGAAAAAAGGCTCTGTAATATTTGTTTATCTTTGTACTTCTTTGCAGAAACCCATTATAGAGGAAGATTTGCAGGATTTTCCCTGTACGTATCTAACAGCACAGACCGACATCACGGCAGTCTTTGTTATCATGACCAACAGAACAGACCAGGATACCCGACCCCCACCATGACACTGCAGTGTAACACGTGGGGAAGATATGTCATCATTTACAATGAAAGAAATCCGGAATTCACATATCCTACATTTTATTCAAACATGGCCATCTTAGAATTGTGTGAGGTTGAAGTTTACGGTATTTATCTATTTGTTTTTACAATATCTCTTTTTGACCCATTTACTCTTTATTTACCATTTTTCATTTTTTTTCATTTTTGGGAAAACAAATCTATATTTCGGAAAAGGGAAAAAAAGGTTTAAAGTATTATTGCTATTGTATTAAAGCATAATAGTGTATTTTTAATATAGATTCAGTGGAGTTTTCTTTATATGACGGTGAAGTTAAATCGAATGGCTTTAGAATGTTAGAATTGTAATAGTATTACCTCAAAGAAAGGAAATGTTTCGATACTATATTGTGTTTGAACGCACTTTGTATTTTACTCCAGGTTGTCCTAACACTCTACAGAAGGAAGGGGAGTGCGTGGATTGTCCCTCCACGTGTAAAGACGGTCACTGTAATGAAACAAGGGGCACCTGCTTGTCCTGTTCTAAGGGCTTTAGTGGTGATTACTGCAATGAAAGTAAGGTTTATAAATTGTACACCTCATTTATCAATTACAAAAACATCAAAAACAATTTTAACCATTTTCGTATGCCTGAGTTAGAAAAAAAAACACTATAAATGTATCATTTCAAACAGCTTGTGGACCAGGTAGTCATGGACATCGCTGTTCTGGTGATTGTGGATTTTGCAGAGACGGAGAACCATGTGATCACGTAACAGGATTTTGTTTAAATGGATGCGCAAATGGAATGCGAGGAGATAAATGTAAAGATGGTAGGTTCTAATCGTATTAACTGTTCAATAGGTGACGGTTTCAGATTCTTGTTCTATCCAATTCAAGATGATTAAATTAGAAAAATACATAATCATAATTTCGTTATATAAAGCTTTAAAAAAAAGTTCCTGTAATTTAAAATGGATTGAATATCTTAATAGTTCTGAAATCGTTAATATTTACAAACTTTTAGAATTTAACATCTTTTGTGCGCGAGTATCATTAACAATAGTGGTACAGTGAAACTTGGCTTATCTGTATATTTATTCCAACATCTTGTTCAATACGATATAAACCTTAAGTCCTTTTCTGTAACTTCTATTGTTTAAAATATTGTCTAATCCGAAATATGGTCTTATCCAGCCAATTTCTATGGAACTAGGGGTCCCCGGATTAGACAAATTTTTACTGTAATGTTAATAGATGTTCCATGTTTTTATATTCTTTCTGTAATAACATTAGCATCATGTTTACGGATAACGTATCTTTTGGCGTCTAATACCGATAAAAACTTTTAGCTTTAAAAAGTAAATTGAATTGTGATTATTTTTAGAAAGATATTCATAGAGAATGACTTCAGTTTTTAGAAAAAGGGAATACTTTTTTGATATGCATAACAAATACAAATTCTTTTTTTGTTTATAATGATCATAACCTACATGTTTTTGATGAAATAATTGGAGATAACGAACAGTATTCGAGCTCAAAAGTCCATTAAACATTACAAAGTAAACATAAACCTCTATCACATCAGAGAGCATCCCTGCTGACCGGTCACACCCGCCGTGTGCTCCTTGTCATGATCGGGAAATAGCGGGAAAATCCGTCGAAATTTAAGTGTGTAAATAATGGCCTAACAATTAGTAGGAAAAAAGTCGGTCAGCGTTTGACTTAATGATAGATTGTATTTGCTGACAAGGTCATTGTATCGACCATAGAATTTACGAAATGATGCCTTTAAACGAGACTGCTGATATTCTTTTTACATCAACTTAGTTTGCCAATAACTTACCTCGTTTAGAAATTGTTCTTACGTAGAGCATGCTCTGGCGTATCGAATCAACTGAGAGATATAAACTCCGTATGCAGGTGATAAGGGTATATTGCTGCACAGATAAGGGAAGTTGACGATTGAAAAGTAAAAGTCATCACGTTTATCATAAAGCTTGGTTGTTAGATTCCATTAACGTCTTTTTTCTAATAAAATATCCAAATATGAAACAGATGATTTTCTCAGCTTTCGACTACTGTACGCAAATTCTAACTTACAAGGTAAGCTAAAAAAAGTTCATATGTAATACTTACTTCTCTTCATATATAGTCTGTCAACCTGGCACGTATGGACCAAATTGTACAAAAGAATGTGGGATTTTCTGTAAAAGATCACGTGTTTGTCATCACGTGACAGGAAAATGTCAAAATGGATGTAAACAAGGCTTCAGTGGAGATACGTGCGAAGATGGTAAGATATCCTCGTAGTATTTCTAGATTAATTTAAAAAAGGTCCTTTATGTGGACAAGACCCAAACTTTTCAATTTTAAATACATATAATAAATTGATTTGAATTTAACCCAAACTTTTCAATTTTAAATACATATAATAAATTGATTTGAATTTAACGATTTCAACATTACGAATGAACGTCGAAAACTCTATAAAGTACATAATTATGAACATAAATATTGTAATAAATGATTAATAGTTCAATTTCATGGTAATTTCTTTAAATTCCAACCATTAAATTAATAAGTGAAAAAATAAATCAATACTTCCGCTTCCGGACAGAAAAATTATTTATAATCACATTTTAATATTTGCAGCTGAAGGATTACCTGTCAGTGTTGATTTTATATATGGTTTACTAGTAATGATCATAGCTGTTTTCGTCATGAATGTTGTATTCTTCACTGTGTTCTTGGTTAGGAGGTGAGTCGCTTTTGTGCCTTCATTTTTATGGACTAACCCATTAACATATGATCGCAATATTGTAGTAAATTAAGAATATCTTAATATAAAATTATCAGAGGTTAAGGAAGGTTTACGTTGCATATGACCATAAAAATGACAGCGGGAAAAATTCTATAAAATGCGACAAAATACATGTATTTGTTGACGTAGGATAAAATTTGTATTAAGACACTTTTGTTAATAAACCAAACCCACTGATAATGAACTTCCTTCAATTTGTAATCAGTTAAGGACTTTATCTTTGCAGATTTAGAAAGAAAACTAACCACATCGTAACAATAAATTTTAAACATCCAAAATATACATTTGACAACAAGGCGTTCAAGGACGAAGGTGAAGTTTACTACAGTGAACAACTGCAGGAGCTCAATGGTCTCGTTACAAATATCTACGATGGATATGAAAACACTTCATAAAGCTTTCAAAAAGCATTCATGGAACATTCATGCTCCTTGACAAAGAGTTTATTTCAGTGTATTATAAAAAGTCTGCCTCTCCATGATTTGTATATCTTTTGAGACTATTAATGAAATCATTTATAAATAATTGATTAATTATTATATTATTGATGATACAATAATATATCAGTTGTTAAAAAGCATAAGAATATATGGAAATCTTGTAAGCTTTTAAAAATTTCACATTTTTTTGTGATTCCAATTATCCCTTTTAGATATTTATACGGTTCACATTTTGTTAAAATAACGAATTTTCCCCCTTCCACACACAAACACACAATACATAAATTATCTGTTTTTAAATCAAAAGAATGGGGGAAAAGGTACAAATTAATGGTCACTAAATATCTGAAAAGGTCACTGAATGGCAGTGCTCTGCCATTGTTTTATCTTTCGGTAGCCTTGTAGTCAACATTTAGCTAACTGAATGGCTGAATTTTATCTTGTGGAGCAAGTCGATTTTATCAAGATAACTATTTTTAAAATTGTTTTATGCATTGCCTTTCTTATGATATAATATGTCTTCAATATTCTTTTCAATGAAATGAATTGCTAACATCAACTCCCAAACTGCTTTTTGATTTTAGAAAAAGGTTTCAAGAAGAAAAAGAAAATTATTTATGATATTAAAAACATGAAAAGACAAAAATTCACTTTAATTATACATGTATATTGACTAAGGTGTTGAAAGCTTGAGTCCAGTGGTTAAAGTCATGTAATAGTAAATATTTAAATAATTGATTTTTTTATATTTGCTACACTGCTGACAAAAAGGATGAAAAATATGAACGTTCACCATGTGATTTTTCAATCATTTATTCATTCAGGCTATGGAGGAAGTATTAAATTTTCATTTGCATATTTGAATGAATTACAAAATTTGTGTGCACAGCATATACTTTTGCTTTAAATCATAAATGAGCAATTCTGCAGAATTAATTTTACTTGAATGCATTTTTGAAAGACAATTTCGTAAGGATGTTGTTGTTTCAAAAACAGCATTTTTCGTACCTGGTTGCTCTTTAAAAATATAGATAACACCCCTAAATTCTCCATTGCACTATATAAAAAGCAGGGAGATAGATACATTATCGTGGAATTTTGACAACACCTTCTAACTCTGAATCCCCTTGGTATTCATACTGGTATAATGTTTATTTATATTTGTAAAAACAAAGCAACAGTTTTCCTTTGAAATGATAAAGCAATAAATAAATATTAATTAATTATTAGTAATGAAAAAAGAAAATGTAGGAAAGATCGTTTTTTCTCTTCAGATTTTTAGGTCACCTGAGTCACTCAGGTGACCTATTGCTATCCGTTCTCGTCCGTCGGCGTGCATCGTGCGTTAACATTTGAACATTTTTAGCTTCTTCTCTGAAACCGCTGAACCAATTTCAACCAAATTTGGCATATAGCATCTATGGGTGAAGGAGAACAAAAATTGTGAATTTCATGGTCCCTGCCCCCCTGGGGCCTGAGGGGTGGGGCTAAAACCACCAAAAATAATGCAATCTTTAAAAATCTTCTTCTTTACTCCTGGACATCAAGCAGTCAAACTGTTAGCATCATTGTAATAAGCATTGAGCCCTCTACCAAAATTGTGAAATTCATGACCCCAGGGTCAGGGGTTCTGGCCCCAGGGTGGGGCTATATAGATCATATAGTGAAAGTGCATTATTTCTTTGAAAATCTTCTTCTCTGCTCCTGGGTATTAAATAAGGTAACTAAGTACATAGTTATGATGAGCAAGAGTGCCTCTTCCAAAATTGTGAAATTCACGGCCCCAGGGTCAGGGGTTCTGGTGTTAGGGCGGGGCTTTATTGATTATATAGTGAAAATGCATTAATTCTTTGAAAATCTTCTTCTCTGCTCCTGGGTATTAAATAAAGTAACTAAGTACATAGTTATGATGAGCAAGAGTGCCTCTTTCAAAATTGTGAAATTCATGGCCCCAGGGTCAGGGGTTCTGGCCCCAGGGTGGGGCTATATAGATCATATAGTAAAAGTGCATTATTTCTTTGAAAATCTTCTTCTCTGCTCCTGGGTATTAAATAAGGTAACTAAGTACATAGTTATGATGAGCAAGAGTGCCTCTTCCAAAATTGTGAAATTCATGGCCCCAGGGTTAGGGATTCTGGTGTAAGGGCGGGGCTCTATTGATTATATAGTGAAAATGTATTAATTCTTTGAAAATCTTCTCTGCCCCTGGGTATTAAATAAAGTAACTAAGTACATAGTTATGATGAGCAAGAGTGCCTCTTCCAAAATTGTGAAATTCATGGCCCCAGGGTCAGGGGTTCTGGTGTTAGGGCGGGGTTTTATAGATTATATAGTGAAAAAGCATTAATTCTTTGAAAATCTTCTTCTCTGCTCCTGGGTATTAAATAAAGTAACTAAGTACATAGTTATGATGAGCAAGAGTGCCTCTTCCAAAATTGTGAATGTCATGGCCCCAGGGTCAGGGGTTCTGCTGTTAGGGCGGGGCTCTATCAACTATATAGTGAAAATGCATTAATTCTTTGAAAATCTTCTTCTCTGCTCCTGGGTATTATTTAAACAAACTAAGTGCATGGTTATGATGCATAAGGATGCCTTTTCAAAAATTGTGAATTTCATGGCCCCAGGGTCAGGGGTTCTGGTGTTAGGATGGGGCTCTACTGATTATATAGTGAAAATGCATTGATTCTTTGAAAATCTTCTTCTCTGCTACTGGAGATTATTTAAACAAACTAAGTGCATGGTTATGATGCATAAGGATGCCTTTTTAAAAATTGTGAATTTCATGGCCCCAGGGTCAGGGGTTCCGGTGTTAGGGTGGGGCTCTATTGATTATATAGTGAAAATGCATTGATTCTATGAAAATCTTCTTCTCTGCTACTGGAGATTATTTAAACAAACTAAGTGCATGATTATGATAGGCAAGGATGCCTCTTCCAAAATTTTTAAATACATGGCCTCATTTTTTTGGGGTTCTTGAGGGGGGGGGGGAGGGGGGCTCTATTGATTATATAGTGAAAATGCATTAATTCTATTAATTAATCATTAACTAATCCTGTCTGCTCCTTAGTATTGAGCTGATAAATAAATTGCTTAGCTATGATGAAGATGGGAGCTTCGAACAGAATTTTTAAATTTTGTGGTCCTAGGGTCAGGGGTTCTGGCATAACGAGGAAGGGGGGGGGGGCTTTTGATAATATAGTGGAAAAGTGTTAATTCTTTGAAGTCCATAGTTATGATGATGAGGGTAACTCTTCCAAATTTGTAAATTTCTTGTCAATGACCTTTGGTCTTGGGTTCTGGTGTTAGGGTAAGGCTTTGTTGAATCTGTAGTGAAAATGCATTGTACCTGTGAAATTCTTCTCTGCTTCTGGGCATATCGAAAGCAAACTGAGTAAAAGTTTAAATGATATAAGTAAGCGTATTTCTACCAGATTTTTGAACATCTGGACAATTTGTCTAAGCATTCTGGTCCTGGACAGGGCTCTATTAATTTGTATTCTACTGAGAGAAGTTATTCCCCTTTTCCATTCACCTTTGATAATTAATCACTGTAAATAATGTATTTGAAAGATTAATAGAATAAGATTATTATGCAAGAATGTTTATCGTATAATTCAAAAAGTACTTTCTTAGTTTTAATAATCAGGCAGACCTGTAAGTAATAGATAAATAAAAATGAGGCAAAAATAACTTACCTTATTAAAAGTTCTTCAAAGACCCTAAGAGAGGTCAATGCTAAAGGTCTTAATATGGGTTTAAAAATAGTACAGAAGCACTAATAGTTTGTTAATAGTCTGCATGGTGATAATATTAAGTGGGGGACAGATTAGAACTTAAAGTTATGAGTTGATGCTGAATACTAGACTAATTATTTTGTTGATCCTGATCTTCCTACTTCTCTTGCTTTAGGGCAACAAAGCTTCATCTGTCAGTGTATTAAACTTCTAAATTGTTGTATTATACTCAGGTGACCGTTAAGGACCTTGGGCCTCTTGGGTTTTTTTTTTTGCTACGTCATTTTGCAGACACCTACATATATCCAAAAATGTAGGATGTCAAGCCTGAATTTGTGTCCGGTTTTTTTATTATTATTATTTATTTTTTTATTTTTTTATTTTTTTTTTATTTATTTTTTTTTTTTTGTTTTGTTTTTTTTTTTTTTTTTTGTTTTTTTTTTTTTTTTTTTTTTTTTTGTTTTTTTTTTTTTTTTTTTTTTTGTTTGGTTAGTTTTTTTGTTTTTGTGTAGTGAAAAACAAAAAGTTTTGACAATCATGCTGTTAAAACGAACTAAAAAATCTTGTCAACTGACAGCGTTTTTGGTTTTTATGATTTGAGATTTGTAACCGTTAAATGCCTTTTAACAGGGAAAAGACCAAGATGCACAAAATCTCAATTATAATACTTTCTACATGTTTGATATCTCTCATCTTCATTACTGGTAAGCAAAATTATTTCAAAAAAAGTCTTTTATTGAGAAAGCAAATAATGTGAAATGAACTGTAATAACTATTTGATCTTTCATTATTTATGAAGTGATGCCGAACATTGTTCGTTTACCTATATGTAGCTAGACAAGTAGAAATCTATAATAGATTTTGTTTGTATTCCTATTACCATTAAATTATTTAGAACAATTCATTAGATTTATTACGCCATATATATTTGCAAAATGATGTGAAAAAATAAATAGAATCTTAACTTTCAGAATAATTTTGTAAAACAAATAAAATAAAATGAAATATTAAAATATTCTCCAAACTTCCTCTTCATCACAAAAAAATTACTTATAATGTTGCATATTTTCTTTAAAAAGTAGAAATTAAATTTTAACACACATATTTATTTCAAAATATTGTTATTGTTCTCTTTTTTAGCAATCAGTTTTGGTTACTAAATTCCTGACTTGACTTTATCCTTAAATACTATTTTTGTTTTAAGATCAAAAACAATGAAAGTGATATGTGATGATTTGCAATGATGACATATGCGTTTTACACTAAATATTACAAATGACTTTAATAGAACCTTTTTTCTGTATACCTAGAAATCAATTTTAAAAATATTCCTAATCAATTTTCAATTATAGATGTATTATTGATGCATTCATATAATTTTTCGGAAAATTTACTTGAAATTTGATAAATCTACAAAT